GAAGAGGGCCACCTCCCACCGCCCACCGAAGTGGGCAACCTCCCTGTGCGTTTCTTAGCTTCGCTACTGCTACTGAGCCCCCCCACCACGACAAGGTGAACGCACGTTGGGGGCCACAATCCTAGCGTGGCGCATAATGTATGGAGCTGGATGTATTGCTGTATTGCCCTTATATTTTGAAAAATAAATAACTGTTATTCGACAGTTCAAGGTAATAAGTAGTGTAACTTAAACTTCAGTACACGCGTAGAAGCAAAATGTTGACTGAATCGACAACTGTAAAAAAAAAATCAATAGAAAATACACATGAATATAATTTCGACGCTCGTTAACGTCTTGCCGCAGAAGATTTTCGCTCACACGGACAAAACACGTTTACCTAGTCCCACTACTGGCATCGTCCTAAGGTCTGTGGTAGAGGCGCTTCAAATTACAGAAGGGCCTTAACATCAGAGACATCTCTAATATAGCGTATTGAAAACCGGGGCATGTATCCCACTGGGGCGACTATCCGGGTTTTACCCTATATTCAGTAGGTCTAAGAATAGGACGTAAATTATTTTTCATACCCCTAAGTGATAAAGGTGGATCACCCCAAAAAAAAATATTTTTTTATTTTCTGACACAGTTTTTATTTTACTTTTTTTATGATTCGGCATTAAAAAATACATAAAAACCTAAATTTTTCACCAGGGACGAACCCGAGCGGAGCGACGGTGAGTCGCTAGTAGTTACACAATTGTAAAAATCGCAAACACCAAACAATAGCGCCACGGTAATTGCATAACATTACCGTGATATTACCGTGATAATATATATTATAGTAGACTGATATCACATTCGGTCTGACCAATGGTATTGTGTTTCAACTACATACTTTAAATTTCTCACCTATTTGTAGTAATTATTTTCTACTATATTTCTTATAACTCAATAATATTAAAAATTATAAATTACTTAATTTAATAAAATATTAGATGTGAATATTACATTAATTAAATATGAGTATGAGGTATACCTACATATATATGGTACATATATATGGTAAGTATACTTCGAATCGATTTTCATTGTTGGTCTTACGGTTGTTAAAGTATTATGAGACTATAACTTTCTTGCGCAGTTAATTTTTAACTGCAGTCTACGTTCTAATTATTATTGATCTGTACTGTATTATGTTTTTCCTCTATATTTTTAAACCATACGCTATTTGATATTTTTAACATGCTTTTGTTAACCCTTGTATATAACATTTATATTTTTTATTGTTTAAAGTGTTTTCGAAGATAGTTTTAAATTACCAAATATTTACCAATAATATGGCTCATAAGTTATTACAATACAAAGGCAAAATAAACACATAACATTTATTCATAAATGTTAATATTAGCAATATTAAACTAAGAACACGGGGTCTTTAAAGTTTGTTATTAAATTTTAACGAAGTAGTTACCGTTATTCAAGTTAAAAACTAGAATTGACAGCTGTCATAAATGTTAATTGTCACTTGATTGCCACAGCAATTACCTAGTTTTAGAATTGCGTTATCATTGATTTAAGCGAAAATCACAGAATGTGAAAATATAATATATCTACATACCTCTATATCACCTCGGAATAGATAAAAGAACGTAGAAAAAAACCTCATTTTTTTATAAGCTTAATTTACAAAGGGACTACACCTTAAGGGCCTAATTGATACAATCTAATAATTTTACAGAGTCAGCATTTTAATTTTTAAGCTTTTCATTAGCACTTGCCAAATTCAACATTTATGCGGTAAATGCAGAACATAAGACTATTTCTTCATTATATTATCAAGATGATTCATTGTATACTTATGTTTGTAAGTTGTAACTGCAGGCTGCAAATCCGAAGGTCTTGGGTTCGAGACCTGGGTTGGGTCAAGTTTAGTTATTGAGTTTTTCTGTTAAGAAAGTCTCAATAATGACCCGGAGTTGGAAAGTTGGCGGTTATTATTACTTTAAGTTATCTAGGTCAATAGCATTCTGAACCTGGTCTGTTATTGTCATTTCAGGCGACAGTGTTTTTATTGTTTATGAAGCACGTTATTAATCTAATTTATAACACTGCTCCAAGCTGTTTCCTTAAAATATAATAAAACCCATTATGTAGTAAATTAAGGACTTAAATTATACGAGTATAAGGATTGTAAATTTCTGTACAGAAGTCGTAAAAAAGGTCTTGCTGGCCTGGCTATTGCGGCATTGCTGATAACGAAACTGTAAATTCCTCTGCTAAAGCAGCTTGTCAGTATGAAAACCTTGAATAACTTGAATAACTGTATATTTGCCTAATCTACTTTTAATATCTATTATTCCTATGAGAGCAGATCTCGTAGATTGACGCGCGCCTTTGGGATAGATTCGAATATAATAGGTACTTTGTTAGTATCGTTATCAAGACAACCACCTTTTGTTATAAATACTTTAGTAGTGATAGTATTTCTTTGCCAATATAAAAAAAAACATTAGTTAAATTTTTATTGTGAACTAGCATTTAGTATCTACTCAAATGTTCGCCACAAAATCAATATCATGCTTTGCAATTTGTATTAAAAGAAAATTAACAAATATGTTATAGAATAAGAGAACAGGAGATTTCGCTAAGAGTTATTTTTAACATACTTACGATTGTATGAACAAGCAAAGTATCAACTATTTTAAACTACATTGCACTATAAAGTTGAAGATGTTCGAAGTTCACTAAACTACATTTCCACTAATGGAAAACTTATACAGTTCCCAGTCGTTTACAAAATACAAGGGACTTTACTTCACGAGACAGTATAATATGTAATATATCGTAACATTTAGTGACTTTAGGAGTGATATTTTTATAAGTAGTAAAAATAAATCGAGCAGAAAATAAAGCGCTCACAGCTTTAAGACCTATTATCGATTTTACATTTCAGATATCTATATTTTAAAGATAATACCTTCTTTTATTAAATTTACTTTATCATATATGCAAATTTATTTTAATTGAGCCATTAAGCTGTTTTGTATTATGATTAATATAGAAAACAATTTATATAAATTGTTAAAAGAGCTGTAATTATTTTATATTAAAATTGGAGTGAAAGACATTTTTTATGTAACAATTTTCACGTCCTTAATAAGTTATTAATGAATAAGTGTTTATATTTAATATAGGAAGGTTATAATACTGTAGGTTTAATGCAATTTAAAAGTACAGTTTATTCTGTAACTTGTATGCGGTCCTTACTTAACACCTCCAGGTAAATTTCTAAGAAATCTATTGTTAACTGTAACGCCGGCGTGTCCGCGGTCGTTGAGGGTTTATAATAAATCAATGGAAAAACAATCGCAAAATAAACAGCGGTAGCGCAGTGCCAATGCATAACTTTTATAATCCCAGTCACACTTCTGACATTTTCGTAAAAAAGGTGTTTCAATATGACTACCACCAGTTAAAATGGCGAAGGAAACCTATATGAAAATCTCAGAGGGAACCTAACCATTTTTTTCGAATGACATGTGAAATTAGCCTATCCGCATTAGGCCTACGTTATGCGCTTTGGCCCGATCCCCCTTGCATTGAAGAGAGGTCCGAGATGTTGAATGTTAAAAAGGCTGAATTATTATATTATTTTAATATTAAAACAATATCTTTATGAAATATTTCTTCCATACTACCTGCGTCGTTTCATAGAAAAGGGACTTAATTCTCTAAAACATTACATCAATACTGAATACATATTACAAAGAAATAGTCGCTATGATATATTGAACGTTCTTCCGGTTTTTCTCATCCAATTTCCTGTACGTAATTTTTATGGACCATATTCCTATAGTTCTTCCAAATACTACTGATACAGTAGAAACGTGTAACATTCTCATAAACATTTTACACTTGTGTTTATGAAGGAAAAAGTGAAATAAAATGAAAGTAATATCCGTTTACTGATAAAAATAAATAAATAAATATTACACACATTACATACACATTTACACACAGCACTGTCTAGTTCCATGGTAAGCTACGAGGCTTGTATTATGGATACCAGATAGATTATGATACACTACACATATAAATAAGTAACTAAACTTATTGATTATATATTTATGAACTATGAAAATACATTTAAGAAAATAAAAATAAAAACAAAATGCGGACAAAGGATATCTTGTCTCTTCAGAGATTTTCTCTAGAAACGCCTTTCCGCTGCGTTATAAATATAGAATAATATAAGTACTTTCATATAAGATAGTCACATACAAAAGCTGATTGAAAAGTACTTTCTTCTGTTTATATAACTTAAGTGCTGAGTACTTTCTTAAGTTTATTTAACTTAACAAACAAATGATATAAACAACGAATTTTTTTTTATTCCAAACATAACTCAAAAACTTAGAAATATCACCATTTTATCAACTATAAAGTCTTTATAAATTTTATTATAAAGAGCCTTGAAAGAGATAAAATTCAAGGTATTTCAAAGTCAGCAATATTATATTAAAAATGAGTCAGGCGTTCCTCCAAACAATGATAATAATTCTAAGTCACGTAATATCTATAACTTGTTCGAAGTAATCTCTTCGTTTGTGTGGAGAGTCATATTTAGAAGAAAATATTAATTTTGTAAATCATACATCGCCTTCATAATTGAAGGTAGAAAATCCTTATTACAAGGACTGTAATTAAATTAGTCGTCGTAACAATAAGATTTACTGAAAAGCGTTCAATTACATAAAATTAATTATTCCAATTGAAAATATATTATGTCTTGAACATATTGAGACATGATTTTTCATCGTATTGAAATATTTAACAGATCGACTTCCTTTTTTTACTTAACACTCATATTTAAAGATACTTAGGGCTGTCTTTAATTGTGACGTCTTAATATAAAGCACTTAATACGAGTATATTGCCCGTTACTAAATATTATAAATTACGTAAAATATGCTTACGTAAAATGTATATAAATAAAGAATTTTCTATTGTTTTTACAGATGTTCCAGCTTTCATCTTGCCTTTTGGCTATACTCGGCGTGACACTGGGTCAGTATGGAAATTTGCTGACAAACCCTGGTCAAGTATTTTTTCAAGGAGGTACACCACCCCAAGGTATCTTTCAAGGCCAGAGGTTACCGGTCAATGGACTTGGGTGAGAAATAAAATAAAACTAACGATAATTACTAAAATAATAATGTATAAAGTAATTTAAACAATATGGCACGTGGTTCTTGTATAAGACTTTTGTATCATTTTTTTACCGTAATCGTAATCAACTACCATCCGTATTGTTCTGCATGAGATGTAATGAATAATCCTAATTCTATTGTAAATAATACTTAAAATTTAAAATATAAAAAGAAATTAATAATATATAATTGTATATTTATAAGTTTTATGTATCTGTAATAAAAAAAGTGTAAAGCAGTAAAGCCATTTTATTTGGAAAGCTTTTGTAGTATATAGACTGAATGTAACTAATGTTCCAAAAGTAGATACCTACTAATATATGTAATAAGCGAATGAAACCGTCAATTAACTGAAGTCTTCAATTGGATAACAAATTATTGAAAAATGAGAATTTTAAAAATTGGTCTACAAAATTATATCGATACTTGATTGATCATTTAAGTACATAAATGGATTCGACTTCCAATAAATTATACATAGACAGTTTTGTTCGTAAGAAGTATTATACATCTAAATGAGCACAAATCCTCTTGATCTAATATTTTCTAGTAGATAAATCCTGCATGAACTAAATTTTGCACCAATTATTATATGTTAACAGCTACCTCAAGTGGACGAATTTTGGAGAAGTCGCAGAAAAATTCAACATAAGGTTTTTGTATTTTCATTACTAATTATCAATCAAAATTTTAAATTTTACACTTATGAATTTCTAACATTCCTTTTTATAATAAATAAGTAAATCTGTTTGTTATTTACACAAAAACACTGATGAGATTTTATGAGTAAACTGTTCAATTCAATTCAATTCTTTTGTTTAGTGGCTTCCAGGAGTGCCATTTGGGTACAATTAACTACCCCAATGTCGCCGTAGAATGGAGGGAACACGTCTGTTATTTCTGTTATTTCCAAGTATAGTTTTAGCTTATTACATCCGTTAATAAATAACAGGTAAAAGTTTGAAACGTAGTAAGTAAGCTAACTCTTTTATATTGTTACTGGCGACTTACCCTCGCTCGGGTGCGTCCCTAATGGTGCCTTTTATATTTATTATGCTATATATAGGCGACACCTTTTGGAAAATTTTATTACTAATTGCAAGTTGACAAAAGCCTATGTGCTACTTCAGCTCATAGTCTCTTTTTGGATTAAATTCCATCTAAATCCATCCAGCCATTTCAACGTGAGGTATTAAAAACATGCACACACACACATACACACAAATTTTTGCATTTATAACAGAAGCGAGATTTATTAATCTTAGTTGGTATATATTCTATATATTTTCTTATATTTTGCGCTAACATCATATACTCAGATTTCATCTTGTTACATGAGCAAGAGTTACTCAAAGACGCATTAACGATGTGACAAAATTGGTTTATTGTCTCACACATATCGTAGTACAGATAAATTACTTCACCTTATTATATTGAAAGTCAATAATTTTCCTAATGTAGTATAGGTATAATATGTTACTCGTTAATATTTTTAGCTTCGTACTTTATTAGTTTCCTGGAAAACTTTTAAGGTCGTGACGACGTTGTACATAAATCGACGCGTATAACATGTGGTGTTGAAGGGTATGTGACTAATATGCTGATTGCCGTAAATTCAATTCCTATAAACAGTTAATGTTTGTATACTTACTAACACAAGTTAGCAAAACTAAGCATATTAGAGCGTCAAAATGAACGCTAAATATCTATTGAGATATCGAAGAAATGTACTTATTTCGTTACACCAGTAAATATTTAGAAAGAATTCAATATATCGTCACCGTATAAAGCCCCCATTTTGGCAAATAATAATCAAAATTTTATTTTTTTCTAATTTTCTCTTATTTTCTATATGTATAGTTAGTTATAAGAAGGTACGTGATTATTGTGTATAGTGTAGTGATTAATGTAAATATTATTCACGTCGTCTTTTATAATATAGTTGGTATATATAATAGTACCTAATGCTCTTGTTTTAGTTATAGTTCACAAATCTTCTAATATCTAAAAACAAAATAACTTTTAATAACTTACCTTAAAAGCAAGCACAACTCTATTTTCGGTTAACAAATACACTTTTATTTATAAGAAATGATATGGTTTACTGCGATCATACATAAACAGTGTTGTGTACTATGTACCTATTAATAGTATTTAGTACGTAGTCGTAGTAATTACGTTTTAACGTTTCGTATAGATTTCTCAGAGACGAGATACAGTAAAAAGTATCCTGTATATTGACCCGGATAACCAAATTTTATCAAAATCTATCCAGTGGTTTCTCGTGACGCGTTCCCAGACAGACAGACAAAGAAAAAATCTAAAAACCGTAGATTCGGCCTCTTTATCGATAATAATGATTATTTTATAAGATTTGTCAAAAAATATTTCATGTACAGATTCGACACGGTTAGAATTTTATTAATAATTATAAGATATATAGAATTGTAATAGAATTATATAGAAAAGTGACTAACTAACATTTATTATAAATTTTTCGTTAATAAATAAATTAATTTAAATGAGTGCCTCGGAACTCCCCAGATCCCCAATTAAGCTGCTTATCAGGTTTAAGTCTTTCCCTTCGAGTATCTAAAAGGTTTATTATCTAGTTTATGGGAAATATCTTAAATATTTGTAGAGATTCCATTTTGTCATAAAATCTTCCATTACCACTAAGCTAGAATATTTTGGGTAATATGTAAGAAGCTCTTGTTTTTATACGTATGTCAGCGTTCGTTACTTGATATTTTTCCTTGAGCCCGAACAATCTCTATGTCATTGAGAGTTGACAAATAGAAAATCTTCGGAGGATATAACTGCCACTATGTCTCAGCTGTTTTTTTCCCCATTCAATTGCTATTATTTGTATAATGTATAATTCACATTGTCATTGGATTATTAGATGATATTGTTAGACTCAAAAAATATATTCATATAAACAAGTTATAGAAAAACTACATTAAAATATAAATATATAGTAATTACTTCCTTTTCTGAAATAGTGACATTATAACGTTTATTATAATTTCTCAAATATTACATATATTTATTTATTAAATCTAAATATTTCACTATACTCGAGTATTTTTCAAGTTATTTCGAAGTATTAAAATTACTGTTATTTAAATAGTTTCAGTAACCCGCCGCCACCACCAGGATCGTCACTAGACCCAGCCACACAAACATGTGGCCTCGCCCCACCCTTTTGTGTTAAGTCTAAATATCGTACAATAGATGGTACCTGTAACAACCTACTTAGACCAACTTGGGGTATTCCACAAACACCCTATGGACGACTAGTGCAATATAAATATGGCGATGGTAAGTTTTATTTAATACCAACGAAATAACGCCCAAACTAGGTTACCTTTTCTTGAAAGTTCGTAAAATATATACACAGACATACCGGATTTAGATAAATAATCAAATACATTTATTTGTCTCTAGTAAACTTTGATGCGATTTACCTTGCATATATAAATAACGACTGATGATAAAAATATACAGATAAATAACGGTCCAAGGAATCTGATCAAGGGAGATAATTAAAGTAATCCAGGTCTATTTAGTAAGTCAAAGAGGTCGTGCATCCACAGAAAGGAGTTTAAAGTTGTATAAATGAGTTCTTATCTAAATTACCAAGTTCTCCCCTAGTATGTTTTGCAGAAACTAGACCCTGTGCTTCCCTTTAAATTAAATTAACATGTCGTCCTGAAATAAAATATTACCTCTAGAAATGCTCGTACATATTTATTCCCTTTGGTTTATTAATTAGTGTTAATTACAAATACGTAGGGCAAAATTGAAAATTAACTAAATTTAAATTTAATGATATGCGAAACGTTTCACGATACGCAAAAATATTAGTTTTCATATTGTATTCTGAATAACGAGCAATCATATTTCAAACGAAACCTTTTCATATTGTGATTATGGACGACCGTCGTAGTACAATGACTTATTCTGACTCTAAGAGGTCAAAAGTAATGAATGATAAACTATAATAATTCATTTAATACATTAAGACAAAACGCGTAAACAATTGAACGTAGTGACGAGTATCTGCGAGATATCTTAAAAGGTACCGATCGGATATACCGAACGCGATCCGATACCGAGGTATCTTAAAATAAAGATATTATTAATCATTGCACGACAAATTTTGTGAAAACGGGTTTTAATTAAACTTGACATAACATCTCATAATACAAGCTTGTTTTGAAGTTTTTAATATCCGTAAAAGCGCACTGTAATCAGTTTTTCTTTACAGTGGCACTAAAATATGCTGTCGTAATATGAAAATGTGAAAAACGACTACTAATACCAAGTTCCATATACTGAACTTTTAAATTTATTTTCAAATAAGTTTTCCAAATGAGATTACTGAAACAAGTCAGCCTATAATTATTCTTTTGAAGTCTAAGGATTTATCTCCGGCTTAGTTTACATTCATTATTCCTTAATTATGACATTTTTTATAACAAAAATCCATGAAAATTGCTTTTGAGTCGCTCCCGGAAAACAATTATTCTTCTGTCTGTCCATTTTAATGATCTCACTGTGATATAAAGGAAAGCTAAAATTGAGGATCATAAGTCATCGCATGAAATTATAAATTATTAGTCCTTAAATATTACGTTTATTTTAGAACCATTCGTACAAAATATTCATTCAACTGCTGTTTACAATCAATCATTCTGCTGAGCCTTTTTGTTTACAATTGTATTACTTTTTTATTGCTGTTTGAAGATATTTAATGCATTCGAATTACAAGGACGCAACATTTACCTACTTATTTTGTATCTTTAGGTTCACGTATTAGGTAGCAATATAATATTTTTTCTTCAAATTAATTATGAACATTTCTTATGTATATTACTTTCTAGTTTTGTTTATTCTTAATTAAAAAAGGCTATTTATTAAAAAGTCCTATAAATTCCTAATCAATGATAACAAAACAATAAGAAGAGGATGACTAAAAATTGCAAAAATTAATAATTATGCATATTAAGTTGATTTAATTTTTCGTTATTATTCACACCTCCAGGTAAATTTCTAAGAAATTAATTAAATTTCTAAGAAATCTATTGTTAACTGTAACGCCGGCGTGTCCGCGGTCGTTGAGGGATTAAGTATATATTTGTTATTCAAGTTAATGAAATAAGTAAAAAATATATACGTATTAGAAATTAATAAGTGCTTAAATTTAAACATTACATTAGCGTGAAATAAGAAGCGTTTCTCCATCACTTTATTTGTCTTGTAAAGTGAATTTATAGAACTTTAGAAATTCTTTTTTCACTATACTAAATTATTATTCAATTTTTTAGGTGTAAGCCAGTTCCCAAGAGCTGTTTCAGGAAGTGAATTACCTAATCCTAGATTGATTAGCACGATTTTGTTCCCTGATAAGGACTTAGTTGACCCAATTTGGAACTTAAACGCGCAGCAGTGGGGTCAGATTATAACCCACGATATGTCTCTCACGGCAGGTGTTGCGCAAAGTCGTAAGTATATTTATTAATAACATATTTATAATGATTAATTTTAAACCCCAAAATTATATTTGTTAATTCTGTGTATCCAATTTATATACAATTCTGTACAATAGTAAATGTGAAAGACTGACTTTCGGTTAACAAACAGACATTTTCACTACTGAACGGATTTCGATAAGACACGGACATAGCGTTTATCCTGCGAATAGACGGATGAATGCTAGCGGACAAAAATTTATATAGAACTATATTGGTTTTCATCATCGACTACATCAGAATTAGAAACAAAAAAATATAAAAAGAACACCTTCTGTCTCGAGCTTTATTCCACTTTCAAAAACGTTTCTTTACAGTGTAACCATTTTTTTCTATTATATCTTTTGAATAGTTCTTAGAAAATGTAAATTTAATTTTTAGGAACCAGTCTAAATATCATATTTAGTTACTATCTTCAATAAACAAAGTCTAAATCTAATCTAAATAAAATTAAAATTAACAATAATACGTACTCCCTATTACAGCGTCAGGTATAAAGACAGTAATATAGAGGATAGGCAAATGAGGTTGTATGAAGGTATTAAAGGGTGGTCGTTGATACATGTGATTGTGCAAAAATAAATCCTACCTCATATCGTTAGCTTATGAATTAACACTTCATACGAATAAAATAATAACTTTATCTATTATATTATTATTATATTCCTAAAATCATGATTAATAAAACGTTATTTATATTTTAATAATAATAACAGATGCCTATAATGTTTTAAATAAAACTATCTTTACGAGTTTTTTCGCAGATTTATTTGGATTTTTGGATCTCGACGTTTCTAATATTTTATAGCAATCGTGGCCACGGGGGAGACTAAGGTTTTAGATGTCTCAAAGCTTATTATATACTTGTGGGTAGGTGGTGTATGTAACAACTACATATATAATGACCTTTGAGACGTCTAAAACCTTAGTCTATCCAAATTCGAAAAGATAGTTTTATTTAAAATGTCAATTATTGACGTAAATCTTACGAAGTATGAGATGTTTATAACATTTAGTGTTCCATTAACACTCATATTTATATATGTGTGTGTATATTGTGTGAAAATTATTCACAAAATTAATAAAAGGAAACAAAGGGTTTTTATTAACAACTAAGTTATTGTGTTAAGAATAAATTCAATTCATTGGTATTATTGGAATTCAATATTAGTGTTGACAATAGATAGCAAATTACTTACGTGTACTTAGGGTGGTTTTTCTAAAAGAGACCTTTTCCAAACAAGTTATAATTATTGTGGATAATGTTATATAGTTAATTTGTTTGTTTTATTATAAATAAATATTATTATTATTATCGATTTGGCCATTTTTATAAACTTATTTAGTGAAAAATTAAATCTGCTTCTTATTACTGTTCAAATGCTAGAGTATTTAAAATGTAGAGCAGGGGGAAACATAACATACGCGTAGGAAAGGCCTCTATCAATGAAATTATAATCATCAAATTATAATATCAGAATACTAAAAGCAAAACGTTGCTCAATTAATTTAAGTTTATTTTATGACTATTTGTTTTATTACATTAGTGTACCAATTTAAGCAAATATCGTGCGATGAATATTCAAGAAATTAAGATTTAAGAGCAAAACGTGCTATTACAAAATTAAATTTGATTTCCTATTAATATGTATAAATACCTCAAAAGCTGTAAAATAGTCGAAATTACAAAAAAACGTAAAAAGTAAAAATTATAAACGTAAATGCAACATAAAAACTTAATAAAAAATAAAAACCGGCTTCAAAAAAAAAGCACTAAAAAGTAAAAAATAACTTTACGGATTCCCAATCAGATCACACACACACACACATTTATTTTTAAAGTTGTTATTTTTCCATTTTTAGTGTACACATAATAGTAGCAAAATAAGAAGAAAGTATTTTAAAGATTCAGTAGGTTAAAAATCAATCATCCCCTATTTTCTACACTTAGGGGTAAAAAAAAAATTTCTAATTAAAATGCAATCAACTTTAAGGTAAATATGTATAATGTATACCCTATCCAATAAAAAAAGAATCCTTGAAATCGGACTACACTGTAAAAAGTTATGCGTGATCAAACATTAAAAAAAAGAGATATTCGTATCAAATTGAGAACCTCGTCCTTTTTTTTCGTCGGTTAAAAAAATATTTGAGTCTACATATATTTCAGTCCACTTGTGATATATGTACCTAGAGCATACCACTTTTGGATGAGGTCTATAATAATGAGATATTTTTTGAATTGGAAATATAGAATTTTACGGTTTGTTTAACAGCCGTAAATTTAACTTTTATTTTTCATATATTTTGCCGTCAAACAATAAATTATAATAGGTATATTGTGGAAGCGAAGATATTTTATTTTGCTTTCAACCTCTTATAGCGAATATACTAACGTGCTTAGACTATTCATTTCCCATTCTCCTTCTCCATAATGCATATAATGTTACATACTAAACTATATCTGTATAGTGTTTTTTATTAAATGTATTTTTATTTGTTTCGTTACATAAACTCGTAGTATGCTGTTTTTTGTGTGGCCAAAGAAATTATTTTTGGTGTTCTAAACTGGGCAATGTATTTTGTTTTGCGTGTGTAAAATTACATATTATATTACAATCAAATAATTTTAATATACACCATATTTTCTAAATAACAGATAAAGATCCACTAACATGTTGTGATGACAATGGTAGACTGTCTCCTGATGCGAAGACAAACCCATTGTGTGCGCCAATTCTTATTCCACCCAACGACCCAGTTCACGCTCCTTTTGGCACGCAATGTATGAATTTCGTCAGAACTGGCACTACAAGAGACCGAGGATGTACTTCGCCGTATGCACCTGCAGAACCTGTAAGTATTGTATTTAAAGATAATAAGTGGATACTACCGTTAAGAAACTAACAAACCACATAATTCTTTCTCAACTATCATGTATGGGGCTTGTGAAAACGAACCAATTGAGCTCTTTAAAATGTTACTAGTAGCCATTGAGGAGTTCCACTATACATCTCCCGTCTCCGTCATTAAATTAACTCGATTTTATAAAATTATTGTTTTATGTCGTTCAGTTTTTATTTACATAAAAAGTTCAAATTTATACGAAAAAGTGTATTATGTATACATACTCGTACATACGAATGAATAAGAGCGTGTAGTTAATACTTATTTTTTTTAAATGCTGAAGAAACACGTATGAATCAATTTATCTTTTAAAATACCTCTGACCAAAATTACTATGTATCTAGGTGCTTTAATATTTAACATTTGCAAACACTGTGATTGGGAAAGTTTTCATTATGGTTAAATATTTAAAATAATATAATATTTCAAAAGTCGAAATATCATGTGTTTTTAGACATTATAGAACTTTTGTAGTTAAAGTCGAGCGTACTGCTGAAATTCGTACACTAACATTTTAAAAATCATAATTATTCTAAACAACTCATAAAGTAGGTACCCTATAAGGAAAAAATTGTTATAATTATTTTAACGTTTTAATTTATTTCTGTGAAGCTTCTACCAATTCCTTTAATTACATTTTGATAGATGAAACATCAGAAAATTTGTACCTGCGGTTTCGCTTTAGATCTACAAAACTGACAAAGATTTATAGTACCTACCTAGCTTCGTTAAGTCAATAAATCATATCAAATGTTTCTTTAACTAATAAGTTAATAGTTTAGTATTTTATTTATAACTAGCAACTTATACTCGCTTCGCTCGGGTGCGTCCATAGGTATGTTTTTTTAGGCGAAACCCTATTTCTTTATCTAAAATAAAAGTAGCCTAAGTTACTTCTTTTCTTATGACATCAGCTATCTGCCAGTGAAAGTCCTGTCAAAATCGGTCCAGCCATTTTGGAGGTTAGCCGAAATAGACAGACAAAAATTTTAAAAGTTGTATTTTTGTCATAAGTAGCATTGCATTTAGTATGTATTCAGCCCTTTTTAACGTCCCACTGCTGGGCACGGGCCTCCCTTTAGTACGAGGGGGGATCAGGCCATAGTCCACCACGTTGGCCAAGTGCGGGTTGCATTTAGTAAAAAATTGTTATTTTGACATTGCAAACAGAGACTTCAATTTTATTTATATGTATAGATAGATTTATAATTTATTATTCTAGGATTTATCTTATTTAAATATTTACCTGGTAATTTATCTTACCTTTCATTTAAAATATCGCAATTAGACTGTAAAGATCAGTGTACCATAAAATTGCTTTAACAGAAAGATATACGTTGAACGCTGTGTGAATACTAAAACGGAGTTTTAATTGACTTTAAGCATAACAATTATTCATTTACAAAGGAACATTATGTGTAATTTATCACTCGCCGGTTTATTTTTTCTATAATATAAATAATTAATTTACACTATATTAGTAAGTAGTAAATCCGCGAAGTAATCCGAAAAGATAGTTTTATTTAAAATGTCAAATATTAGCGTAAATCTAAGAAAGTATTATTGTTTAGAAGACTTAACTTTTATAATTGAGTCTTTTGAACTGAAAGCTTCTATAGGCAGGTTTGGATGTGGAGTAAATTCATGTAAGTCGTCATCGACATAGATGTCAAAACCAGATAAATGTAAACAGTTTTAATTTACAAATTTTAATTTAAGATCAAACAATTAATTTGAATATCCAAAAATAACAACTGTTTGTTTATAGTTTTAAGTTTTCACTTCTGTCGGCAGTCCTCATCACTGCTTTTTTATTTTATCTCACTTTATAATGAGATGAAATATACAATTATAATAGATGTATTTCGACATACGGTTCATTTGCAAGAAAAGATTTGCAATCTTAATTTTTTTTTCAAGATCTCTATAACAAGGATTTCTTAATGATAAATGTTAAATTATAATAGACTAGTTAAGTAACGCGTCTCGTATTGTACAATATTTTTCACTAATTTTATTTGCAGCTTACAACAGTGACAGCATATATGGACGCATCGTTTTGTTACGGTAACAGCGATCGTCAATCTAGACAAATTCGCGCCTTATTTGGAGGACGTTTAATAACGGTCCTGCGGGGAGGACGAGAGTGGCCTCCTCAGGACCCTAATGTTACACTCACTTGTGAATCTGCGCAGTCTCCAAATGAACCCTGTTACTTGGCCGGTAAATGTTTTTCATTTTGTAACAAACTAGTGACTCACCCTCGCTTCGCTCAGGTTCATCCCTATCTTGCTTCGCAATACAATCTTTCATCCCCATTTTCACCCCCTTAGGAGACGATTTCCGGGATAAAAAGTATCCTATGTCCTTCCCAGGCTCTCAAACTATCTTCTTACCAAATTTTATCTAAATCGGTTCAGTAGATCCAGAGATTACCTACTACAACGTCACAAACTTTACCTCTTTATAATATTAGTATAGATGAATTTTATGAATCAATAAAGTTTTAAGACGCTTTGCGCTTATTGTTAAATATTTATGTTTGTAAATCTTGAACTAAAGAATTATATAAATGGAGTGTGCCAAGAAAAGTCAGCCAAAAATAGTAACGTGATTATGCTATTTATTTATGCTACTATTCTCGATTCGCCATACAGATCGTTTACTTTCTTTAAAATTAGGAAAAAATTGTAAATGTTTGGTAATTAATTTACTATTATTGAGAATAAAATAAGAATAATAATGGATAATAATATAATACTATATTCTGTTGTATATTTTAAGCTTTAGTTCGCTTCCTCTTAATAGAGCATCATAATAAAGAAAAAAAATCAGATTAGCTTATTTATTTATTTTTATTTTTCTTGTAAAAAAGCCGTAACCTGTTTTTATTTATTAAATTATTTATACTTATCACAGTTATATATATATATATATATATATATATATATATATATATATATATATATATATATATATATATATATAGTCTATTAATATTTGTATATTGTTTTAAAACATTATTGTTTGGCTTCTCGTTTAGTTTTTTGACACTCTGTCTATATTATTCCTTAGTTTGAGATGTAAATGTACCAGGAGGATTATGTAATAAAAAATGCTTTATTTAATTTGTTTAATAACATTTGTTATATATGAACGCTAATTTTTATTATTTAATCAATCAATTATTATATCAAAGCCAAAACTTGTTTGTCGGTTTCTGTCGCTTTTACAAAACGCTGAAGCAATCTCGATGAAAAACACTAAGATACTCATAGTAAAATATATTTTTGTTTTTATGATGTTATGTAGACAACATCGTAGCTGTATAAAATAAATAAATATGTTGGGACATTAACACCCAACACCATCTAGTTCCATGGTAAGCTACAAGGCTTGTGTTGTGGATACCAGATAGTTGATACACTACACATATATAAATTGAAATACATACGTATTATAAATATAAACACCCATGACTGGAGTACGAACATACGTCATCACACAAAATGAATGTCCCCAGCGGGACTCGAACCCGCGACCGCTGGCACAGCAAATAGGGTCACTAAAAATTAAACCAAACGTGTCATCGTGGGTAGTTGTAGATTTGTATAGCTTGTATGTAGTTTAGTATAGCTTGTATTTATTATTTATATCTCATTTTCTTTGTTACAAGGTGATATTAGAGTGAATCAAAATCCTCAACTAACAATTCTTCAAATTATTATCTTAAGGGAACATAATAGAATAGCCGATATTCTCTCCGCTCTTAACCCACACTGGAACGACGAGACAATATACCAAGAAGCCCGACGCATTGTTATTGCTGAACTGCAATATATTAATTATTATGAATATTTGCCTATATTTCTGGGTAAGTAATAATATTATGATAATGTTCTGACGACTTCGTATTGTAATAATGTATGTTTCTAATAGGCGCTGCGTTTTACGACGTATTGCGTAGATCGATTAGATCATGCAACGTATTGTATGAAATACTTCTGGGATTTTTATTCTTATAGTTGTTTTTATTAATAATAAAATGATCTTATTATTAAAATAAAATAACAATAAAAAAACAATGAATATTATGAAAAGAAAAAATAATTTTAGTAATTCTAAATGATAATAGTGTTGTTAAACAATAATGCAATAATGAGATTTTAAATTTTAAAGTATTTTTATTACATATGTCCATTACATGCTGTTGCATAAGTAGTTAAGAGGACGTAGTAGTATGTACCAAACAAGAAAACGTGACCGTCCATTTATAAAGTAAAATATTTTTTATACTCTTAAATATAAACTCTGTCTCAGCATGTGCTTTGTCAACCAAGAAACCTGACTAACCTATTTACCTACATTCTGAGACGTCTTAAAACTTAGTATCTCCCGTGACAATGATTGCAGTAAACGTTTCGCGAATGCTTAATGAGTAAAGCATTCGAAACGTTGGGAGCCAAAAATCAAAATAATCCGAAAAGGTAGTTTTATTTAAAATTAGCATAGCCCGCGGCTCACCCCGCGATTAGATGACCAAAAACGACGGACGGACAGACAAGACAAAAATTCGAAAAACTATAGATTCGGACTCTGTTTTGATAATACTGTCTATTTCAATTAGATTTTCCAAAAAATATTTAATGAACAGATTCGACTTAGTTACAATTTTATTATATGTATAGATGTCAAATATTCGAGTAAATCTAAGAAAGTATTATGTAACCTATCGTGTCAGATTAGTCCAATTATTTTGAACTTAAAATTAATATCTAAGAACTAATGATGTTGTACAACTAATTGATCCTGTTAAATTAAATAGCGTTATTAACTCCTGCAACATTCAAGAAATTACGAATAGAAGCCTTATATTGGCTTCAAAATCTGTTATATTAATATTATCTTATATTGAAATTTTAGTACAATACTTCACTACTATTTATTAAAGTAGTTTCAAATCTAAATAAAGCTTAAGCAGGATTATTTGTCTCATCTTTGTTGTGTACAACTTACTTGAAAAGTATAATATACGAATAAGTTATCAAAGACAGAAAACTATGCTTACATTTAAAGAAAATCATGTCATATTTTTAAAGTCGCATTACCTTTCTCAGAGACGGATAGGAACTTGAAAAAACATTTCAACGGAATTGGCTATTTCAATATGATCTCTTGAAACGTTGCGCAAACAGACAAATGGATATTTTTTAACAATATATACATAATAATATTCTTTGTATTGACCTTGGTCAAAACAAGTCCACGTGTAACAAAATAATATGATGTTCAATAAACAAGTAAGCGCTTTAGAAGTACTCAACGACTTAAATGTTCTCTAAGTCTAGGAGGCGTAACACTCCCAACTTGCCAAATCCGTCTGGAAAGTAAGAATTTGTTGAAAAAAGACGCAATAACCTATTTCTGGCTTATCTCAAATACAAGGCCTTTTGATATTCCTTATAAGTTGGGCACTAGCGCCTCGTGATATTCATCATATAATACGAAAGTTTTTTTAATAAGTGTTTTTGGTACTTCTATACACTGTAAAACCGAATTTAAGTGAATTTTCGGTAATATAAGATCTTACATCCTATTAAGGTATAAGCTATCTTTTTTATCGACGTACAACCAAAGCACAAAGTAACACTATGTAAAATGACATTATACAAAAAGCTTTAACTGTTCAATATTTAGCTTTGTTTACTTGTTATAAATAAAACATTGTTTACTTAGTAATAATTAGAAATTCTATAAATACTTCTTTAGATATTTTAATATAATTAAACGTAATTTCAAGCACTTAAGTTTACGCACTAAGTAAATAAGCATTAAATTGCAATATAAAAAATATGTTTTCTTCTTCATACTCACGTTACTGTTTCTCCTCCAATAAAATAGTAATACATTAAAAATTTTCAGGTGTTGAAAACATGATTAAGAACAAACTAATTTATCCTGGTGTAAAGGGATATGTAAACGACTATAACCCTAATGTAGACCCCACAGTTCTGGATGAACATGCTACAGCAGCCTTCAGGCACTTTCATACCTTGATCAGAGGATACTTGCAGTAAGTGATATTTTATATCATACAATTGAAATATTTTATTCCTTTCATTCGCTTGTTTTTTTATATTATATGATAATGTGAGGTTGCACTCTCTTTTATTGCAACTAGTGATCGCCCAATGGTCAAAATCCGACCATATTTTTTTATTGATAACACTCAAATTTGATAATAGCTACTAAACTAAACAAAAAGAATATCGGTTGACATACAGAGGAGATAAAGGTACTTAACTGTTATGTCTTTGCCTATTTATATATACGATTACATAGATTTGATCGACTCTAATAGGTTAGGTCAAATCGACTATATTATTTGTTAGTTCAAAATCACTAACATGAAAAATGTATGTGCTACAAAACTAGTTATTAATAAATAAAAATATATGATAATTAAAAAAAATTAAAATATATATGAATAATGAAGAATATATGATACAAAGTTTTACAAAATTAAATAAATATAAATAACACTGTATGTGTTAAATATAAACCTATTATTTTGTTGGGTTAATAAACTTTTCCTCTTTACAGATTGATCACAGAAAATAGGCACTTAGCAGGTATCGTTCGCTTAAGCGATTGGTTCAATAGACCCTTATTAGTCGAACTAGAAAATGCGTTTGACGACTTAACAAGAGGACTCACTTATCAACCACAAGACTTTAGCGATCGATTTTGGGACAGTGAAATTACACAGTTTCTATTCAAGTAAGTAATAAAACGAAATTTTACTTTCATGTATTAAAATTTTACACTTGTATATCGTCAACTTCATTTAGAGATAGTGTAGTCTGACCCTGTCGAAGAGCTGGCAAGAAACTCAACAGTTCCTCTTTAAAATGCCAAGTTACAATATAAAATATTGTATGTATAAGCTATATCGCAATCGAATCAATTTATTTTAATAAATCATAAATAATCCAAATTATGTACAGAAACTCTTGAACAGAATAATATATTTTTAATTAAACTTTTAGATGTTGAAATCTAAAAATAAGTTAGTTTATGAAAATTACACATCGACTCTAATTTTTATTTCTTCTATTAACCGTGTACACAGAGATATTTTTTTATATTTATACTTAGACTGAACTAGATATTATATTAAAATGCTATATTGGTAGTACGGGGAAGGTTTTGTTGGGTTTTAGTGGGTAGTACTGGCTTTGCCGGTGAGTCCCACACCTCGTGCGTAAATGCATTTCCCAACGTTAAAAAAAAAACAAAAGCTCGTGAGAGCTTTCCTGACCTTTTAGAAGAATAACCATGGAATTCTTTTCTACAACACTACCCATGTATAATTTGTTGTAAAATAACGTAAGTTATTTTGGATGTGAATGTGATATATACATATATGTTCTAACCGATACTTCCTGTCGTATTAGAGATGAAAGGGTTGGTTACATAATAGAGCCAATATTTGTATTGATGACATAGGTTAATCGTCAAGGGACAGTTACCAAATAGAGACGTAAGCTATGAAAATTTAGCATCAAAAATTTCTCACGAACGCCAACGAGTTTTGTATTAATTATTAAATTTATTTCGTAACAGGTTCACAAATGATTTAATAATTGTTTAATAACAAAGCAAGGCATTCAAAAGAATCAGTAGATAATATCACATTTAGCAAAGTTTCAACTCAACATTTTATAATTTTTAACAACATTATAATTCCGATATTAATTTGAACTATAATTTAATGAAATTTACAAAACCATTAAAAGAAGTTTTTACTTAATGCTGTGTAATTTTATTGAAACCCAATGGTAAACTTAAATTGTATAATAACCAGATGGTTAAAAAATATAAAGATATAGAAAACATAACATAGACGACACGTTTGGCTCAGTTTGTAGTAACCCTACTTGCTGTGTCAGCTGTCACGGGTTCGAGTCCCGCTGGGGGTATTCACTTGTGTGATGAGCATGAATGTTTGTACTCCAGTCATGGGTGTTTCTATTTATAATACGTATGTATTTAAAGTTATATGTGTGTAGTGTATCAACTATCTGGTATGTATAACACAAGCCTCGTAACTTACTATGTCAAATCAAATCAAAATATTATATTCAGCTTTAAATTATTACAATTTTTTACTGAACGTCATGAGTCTACTACCAGGAACTAGATGGTGATGTGTATTAATGTTCCAACATATTTATTTATTTAATATAATGTATTTGTTGATACGGAACAATAATCTCACGTTATTCTCTAATTTATCGCTTTAATTATGTTCCTAATAAAGATAGAAGATAGTTTAGTTTTTATTCTTTAATATCGTAATTCCAACAAAATTAATGATTCATATAATTGGAAATGTCTAGATTTGGTATATACTTAAGAAGTGTTGAGCAATTATAATTGATTTATGTTATTAAGTAATAATTGCTTAAAGAAAACTTAATGCTCCTTCTTTCAATTGTGTAAGAGTACTCTACTTATTTTATATTTGTGATTGGGTTAATGTATATTTGTGCAGTGAATCACAATATATTCGTAATTAAGTTTTGGTTTCAAGAACATGTTAAAAATCTGAGAATTTTATTAATCTTATAATATTAAATGAGCAATTCTTGTATATTTATGTATGTATGTATTCAGCCCTTTTTAACGTTCAAGTTCTGGGCACGGGCCTCTCTTCAATATGAGGAGGATCAGGCTATAGTCCACCACGCTGGCCAATTGCGAGTTGGCGGACATTACATGTCTTTCGAAAACTTGTTAGGTTCTCTCAGACATGTACGTTTCCTCGCGATGTTTTCCTTCACGGTAAGATAAGTGATAATCATGTTGAAAATAATTCGCTTATGAAAATATCAGTTGTGCGAAATCCGGGATTTGAACCCACTTCACTCGGTTACCCAAGCGAGCGCTTTCGTGATAGCGAAGATAGGTTCGAGTCTCGGATCGGGGCTCATTTAGTTATTGAGTTTTTCTATGAATAAATCCTCAGTAACAGCCCTGAGTTGGAAAATTGGCGATTTTTAACCCCCGTGCACGGAGATTATATAAAGCCGTCGGTCCTGTGCCTGGTCATTCACCGGTCGTGTAGAATTGTTGTTCTACCGAAATCAGTCAAGAGAATATTATTATTTTTAATGTGAATCCGTACTCTTTTCTATATCTGCGTGCAGATTCAGACTTGCTTAAATCACATTTATCTTATTATTCTTTATGAATAGTAATCACGTTTTAAATATTAGGGTCAATTCTTTAATTATGTGAATTTCGTGATGGAAGATAATTGTATTGTATTAAATACTTAACGATTTTGATGAATTAAAAATTTACTTGTTTTATAAAATATTTCCTTCATTATGGGCAAAATGACATCTTACTTCCTTCTTTTATTAAGTCAAAATAATATCGTTAAAAAATTAGCGGTGTATTGGAAATAGGTCTAAGCTACTTTAAAGTATAACCAAATTATTACATTAAAGTCAAAATAGCCTAATTTTAATAGGCTCGGAAAATGACTTGAATGAAGAAAAAAAATGAAAGTTAGACGATAATTATCAATCATTGTATTAACCATTTTCGGGCACTCCCCAGTGGAATATTATAATAGGAATAATAATTTCAGAATATTTAATAATATAATCCCTAAAGGCTGAAGAGGAGTGGCAAGGTTGTTTGATGATAGTAAATATTTACGAGCCAGTTACGTTAGCTACAGTCGGAAGGTCGAAAAAAAAACCAAAAACTAATTTAAACTAATTTATTTTAAAATTACAAATTAAACTTATTATCTAAATTTAATGTCCAACCTACTCGATGTAAGTTTATGGAATGTCCCTAAACAATATGTAAGAATTAAAGTATCCGAGAACTGCAACTCTGCATTCCCGTCCCGATGTCGACATTCTGTTTATTATTTCAATCGTGGGAATTTAATGTATAAGCGATTCACTTGGAACACCTGTATGTAACTAGCCAAATTAATTTAATTCCACGTTTCCAAAATACCGTTATCATTTCGCACTGGGCAACCATGGCCCAGACCACCCATTATTGCAGCGATTTATACCTATTATATTTATAATATTGGCAAAGACATAATGTAATTTGTCGTTGGAAAGAAGGTTGGGAGCCCGAGGAGACTTCTACTATAATATATCTATGTAAAGTAAATTTTATATTTCATAGACGCAACAATACGTTTGGAGGGGACCTTCGCGCGACCGACATACAGCGCGGCCGCGACCACGGCCTCGGCAGCTACGTAGCTACTCGCCGAGCTTGTGGACTGCCCATTCCTAAGACATTCTACGAAATGCAGGACTTTATAACTAAAGAGGTTTGTTATCGTTATATAAATAAATAATAAAAGTGTTCAGCTTGATAACACAGATTTTTGAAGTTAATTTATTACATACATTATCAATGAATTACATAAAAGTCGCGTGTAGAAAGTGCAGAATTAAATCAATTCAATATTTTATTTATTAAAAGACTACTACGCCAATTAACGTGATATCTATAAATATTATGTTATTGTTTACACTACAGCTAAGTAGAGTGTACAGTTAAGCCATTTACATAAACCATTTTAGTTAGCTAATAACCATTGCAAGGAACTAAGTAAACTAAATTATATTGTAACATACTATTAAAATTTACATAAAAATATTATATATATGGTAAGCCTTCGAAGATGAAATATACAGGAACTTGACATTATACAGCCTCCAATTATATTTGAAAATTTATTTCTATACTCGTATAGTAAATAACAGTCGTTACAGATGAGCGATGCTTTTAACAATTCCATTAAAGGCTATAAAGGCGTCCAAAGAAATTGCGTAATAACGTAATAAATAAATAAGGTCACAATAGACATTCACTGATGGAAACATGTATAGATTCTTATATTATAAGCAAATAAAAACCTCTAGTACATGTTTCTTTCAGTGAAAATAAAAAAAATATAAAAAAATTTAAAACGACTTCAAATTTTTTTTACTAAAAAGTAAAAAATAACAGAATGCGGGTTTTCATTTACTGTAGATATTTAACTAGATATTTTCGATGTCGGTGCAGACAGTGTTTGTCTCTTTCTCACTAAAGGGTATAGTATTATATGATCTGTGCTATAGGTAATTTCCCAATAATTTCTTTCTTGTATTGGATTGTTATGAATTAACTTGACAATAATTAATTAGTAAAAACTATAGTTGAAGCATGCTATTTTGATTCGAAGACATTCTACAGTATGTAGTGCTTAATTTTTAATTATAACCGGGATTTTATCCTAAAGTCGTAACAATTTTTCGCAGTGGGATCAGTGAGATTACCATTTGTCAAAGAATTCTGAATATATGTACCTACCAAACTCTGTAGTTTTTTTTATCTAAATATTCCTATATGAAACATTAATAATTACCTATGTATTTATTGAACATTTAGTATATATACATATCTTGGTGTGAGACCTCGTAAATTATATTTTCACGAAAGTACAAGGGATTTAAGGAAAATTGGATTACTGCATAAAGGTTCATAATCTCTTTACGCGATCTAATTGATTCGTACGATACTGATTTTCGCGAAAACGCTAATTGAATCTCGCTTTTTCGTGATATATCATGACTAGTTTGTTAAATTCAAAATATTATTATTGAACGATAGAAGGATTGAAACGCACATAAGTACATAATTTAATACTTTTTCTAATATTTGTAAAAATTCTGTCAAATAGAAGAATGTACTTATTTTAAAAGTTAGTGATAATAATAAGTTAGTGATATTAAGATAGTAATTTGACACAAATTTTTGTCCCATAAAAATCTAAAATTCCGTACTTTTGCCAGTTTTGGTTTTGTATATATGTATATACTAACAGAACCCGCGGATTCGCTCGCGCTAAAACTATAAAATAATCTCTAAAAACATAGGTTTCATACAAACTTTCATCCCATATTTAACCCCCTTATGGGATGAATTGCGAAAAATGCTAAAATACGTATTTATTTAATTGCATTAAAGAGCACCAAGTTTCAAGTAATTTTGATCATAAATATTTTTTGGGTTGTATTATAACGTATATTCCCGTGGAATGAGATAATCTCCCGCGGTAAAAAGTAGCCTATGTCTCTTTCCAACCCTTCAACTATCTCCACACAAAAAATCACGCCAATTTTCCGTCCAAACACACAACAAACAAACAAACAAACAAACAAACTTTTAAATTTATAATATTAACTAGCCCCTCACCCTCACTTCGCTCGGGTTCACCTCTAGAAAAGCACAAACAGATCTATCCCACCGTTCATTTTTCCGGGATGAAAAATAACCTGTTGTTTGACGGGCAATATAAGGTATCAGCATACCAAATTTTACTAAATTAGGTGCGTAAGTTGTTGTGTACTAAGCTGTATAAGTTACTATAGTTTTTTGACTATCCCACGGAAACTCTGTAATTTTCCGGGATGAAAAGTAGCTGATTTGTTTTTGTTATGTATGAACTATATGATTGTAAAAATGTCATTAAAATCCAATCAGTAGTTTTTGTGTACTAAGCTGTATAAGTTCATATAGTTTTTTAACTATCCCACTGGAACTCTTTAATTTTCCGGGATGAAAAGTATCTAAGATACAACGTCACAAACTCACAAGATCACAAACTTTACGTCTTTATAATATTAGTATAGATAAATTATGGATTATTATATTGACTTTATAATAATATCTACAAAGTTATTTTATTTTTATATTATGTTTTCATTATTTGCCATCTAAGCGTGTTATTTAAATAGCTGTACAATTTGAAAATATTTTATTTACTTAACGTTTTTTTACAGAATGTAGAGTTATTGAAAATTATATATGGACATCCAGATGATGTGGACTTGGTAGTGGGTGGTTCTATGGAGAAGATCGTCCCTGGAACCCAAGTAGGACCAACATTCCTCTGTATTCTTACTGAACAGTTCTACAGGACACGAGTAGGAGACCGATACTTCTTTGAAAACGGTGATCCGGAAATAGCATTTCTTCCTAGTAAGTAATATTTTTTACCAAATGTACACATATTATACAACTTTAATTGTTATTGAAATGAAAAGATATGAAAACCAAATTATCTATAAATTCAGTGGCTCTCAAGTCAAGATTTAAAAGTAATAACAATGCCTTACTATAATTATATTCACAATTAAAAAAAGCAACATTGTAATTTTAATTTAGTAAGTTTGTTGCCAATGGCAATGTTTTGGTCGGCTGTGGCATTTTACTTATCAACTTTTATAAAACATCGGAATTACTATATGTACTATGTTATTGCCCGGAAAAAAATCATTTTTATGACATTAATTCCATTTTAGAATATCGCAGATAATTTTATAATACAATTATGAATACAAAATCTCAATTTCGTAATACTTGCAAAAGACTATGTATGTTATTTCTTTAAGTAAAATAATCTCATGGATTACGCATAATTTTGATAAAATTACTGATTCAATTTGGTGTTATTTTTTTAAAACTATTCGTATTCCATAGTAAGAACATAAAGTGAAACTAGTGCTAGGCTTATATTGATACTAACGACTCACGCTCGCTTCGCTCGGGTTCATTTCTAGCTTGATTCCCCATACAAACTTTCATCCTCATTTTTACCTTCTTAAAAGATGATTTCTGGGATAAAAATCCTGTGTCCTTCACAGGGTCTCAAACTATTTTTTTACCAAATTTCATTTAAATCGGTCCAGTAGATCCAGAGATTACCCCTTACAACGTCACTAACTCACATACCCACAAACTCACAAACTTTACCTCTTTATAATATTAGTATAGATTGCTATACTTTCAATAATATCCCTATTGATTTGGAAATTGACATCAGAAATATAAAATATATTCTTCTTCTTCGTGACACTCTTAACAGAGCGGTCGTGGTCATCACGTAGCAGTTTCTGTACGAGCAGATGTGATGCTCCTGTGAGATTGATCGCCACTTCTCCCTGTTGGCCAACATCCTAGTGCACTCATGCAGGGGGGCCACCCACAGCCAACTTAATTTGATTGGTCCATCGCATGCATGGTCGTCCTCGTTCTCTGGTGCCCTCCACCTTGCCCTGTACGACAAGGCACTCAATGAAGTCGCTTTCGCGCCGGGAGACGTGTTCGAAGAACTTTCGGATGTGACCCTCCACTACCGCCGAAAGGCGTTGTTTAATGCCGAGTTCTTGGAGTATATATTGGTATATATTGGTGCGAAATTCGGTCCATGATATTCTAAGCATTCGCCTCCAGCACCACATTTCCAGAACATAACTTCTTTCTTCTCGACTTGTCGCAAAGTCCACGTCTCTGCAGCGTATACAAATATGGGAAAAACGAGTGTTCAAACGAGCCGGATCTTAGTAGTCTTCGTTACGTTTCGGTTCTTCCACACTTTCTTCAGCCTGTCCATCGCAGTTCTAGTTGCTGCCATACGTCGTTTTACTTCTTCTATGCAGCTTCCATTGTTCGAGATTAAAGTTCCAAGATAGATGTAGGATTGGACAACTTCACAGTTCGCGATCTGTGTAACTTCGGGCGAATTATTGTTAGCTCGGTCTACAATCATCATCTTAGTTTTACTGCGGTTAATCTTAAATCCAAATTCTAGGCTCACACGTTACATTTTGAGAAATCGGTCTTCTAAATTTCAAGCACTAGTCGCGAACAAGTTCGTATCGTCAGCGTAGCATAAGTTGGATATCTTGTAGCCACCAATAACTACGTCGTCTGTCTGGTCTTCAAGAATAATGCGCATTATGAGTTCGGTGTAAGCATTGAACAAAAGCAGTGATATTATGTATCCTTGGCGAATACCTGCGCTGGGATGGAAGTTATTAGACAAAGTATCATCAGTCCGCACAGATGCTGTTCCATCTTCGTAAAGTCGTCTGAGAAGATGAACTAAGTGTTGGGATGTACCCCTGTCCAGCAGGACACTCCACAGTTTAGGCCATTTCACAGAATCAAAAGCTTTTGAGAAGTCAACAAAGGAAATGTAAGTCAACAAAGCAAATGGATCCGGCTCGTTCGAACACTTGGCTTGATAAATTCCCTTACCTTCTCTATGATCTGGCGAATAATAAGGATCTGCTCACATGTACCCTTTACCTTAACAAAACCCGCTTGTTCAGGTGCTATCTATTTGGACAGGAAGGTCTTCAGTCGCTCATTAAGAATATGTAACAATACTTTGCTAGCGTGAGATATAAGTGCATTAAGGCGGTAGTTGCTACATCTCTTGGTTGAACCCTTTTTATGTAAAGGAATAAAAACCGTATAAGTCTACTCTATTGGCCAAATAAAATATAGATATTACAGATTTTAAATAAAACAACCTTTTTGGACTTTTTCATGAATTTATTTAGATTTCTGGTTCCCGACGTTTCGAATGCTTTACAGCAATTATTGTTGTATTATAACGTGTTTTCTCCCGTAGTAATGACATAATCTCCCGCGGTAAAAAAATCACACCCAATCACACTTTCATATTTATAATATTAGTTTGGAAGACAAATATTCACGCTAAGAAATTATTTGGTATAATTTAAATAAATGATATTATATTAAACTTGAGGTCATTTCGATTGAGTCTTGATTTGGTCTCAGTGTTATATTGTGTGATATTAATTATTGTCCTATTTTAACAGAACAATTGGAATCCATACGCCTAGGCTCATCAATCGCACGGATAATATGTGATAACAGCGATAATATACGGCACATGCAGCCGAAAGCATTCCAGCAAATTTCAACTGGGTAAGTTTATATTCACACTAGCTTTATCCCGCGGCTCGCACATGTAGTTCAATTATGTATTAATATATCTTTAAAATCATAGCCAAAGTATTACTCTGATGTAAGATATATTACTGTAAAGTTTCATCAAAATCCGTTCAATAGTTTTGCGTGAAAAAGTAAGAAACATCCGCCTATCCTCACAAACTTTCGCGTTATAATATAATAATTATAAATATATCTACTGCATGGTATTTTTATATATTACATCAAAAAAAATTAATGTTTTCAAGTGAGTTGTTTTTTTTTTAATTTTGAAAGTTCATAATAGTTTAGTACGTATTATTATTATTAAGTAAATGAAACATAAAATGCCTTATATTTACTAAAATTATATTTATTAAAATCATTTTTAATCAACCTATAGGTATGCACCCCTGTACAAAACAACCTATACAAAATCGTTTGAAAAATATGTATATCAGCCGATAATAACCACACTTTCACAGAATAAATGACTACAAAAAATCATTTCTTCTAAGATTTTTCCATATATTGATTTCATAAATGTTTTCTTTGCAGGAATATGCCAGTGCCTTGCGACAAATTACCAACCATTGACTTAACTTTGTGGCAAGATTTCAAATACCAATGATTTAATTTTATAAAAGTTTGTGTTTGTACATATTATTATACCTAACGTACGAGTATTAGTGCCTTTTCACACGAGCCGGTTGCCGGCTTACCGGCTCGTGTGAAAAGGCACTCAAACTTACTTTAAAACTTAGGTAAAACTTTTCGTTTTAAAATTGAGTTCTTTACATAATTTATTGTACAATGCATTATAATCTACGAAATATAATAAGATAAAAATGGTGTACATTATACCATGTACAAAGTGAAAACTTTTAATTGCTGTTTGAAGCTTTGATTTAATAATAACACATTTTTTCGTATAATATTAATTTAAGCTTTTACATTCTTTTTTTATAGTTTAAGTTGTTGATTTTTCTATTGTTTACTTAATTTAAAACAGTAAATGTGCGTATTTATGTAAATAAAATAATTGGTTCAATTATAATTTTCTTGTTTGTTTGTAATATACCTATTGAACAGTTAATGTAAGTAAATAAAGTGTGATATTGTTTTTTTTTCTTTTTTTCATTGCCTCTCCTATGATGAAAATAGCGATTTTATTGTTAAAAAATCCAAAAATACAACTATAGTGCTAAAATAAAAGGTTGTATTAATTTCTAGTTTATTACTAGTTTCTTGAGAATAATTTACAGTAATAGTGGAACATTGACAGTTAAAACTTATAAAATAATTTACAAAGTATATCGAATAAAAGGAAAGAAATTTTATCGAAAGGCATTATTATTTTAAACACTAGCATTGCCCGCGGCTCCACCCGCGTTCAGCTGACCAAAAACCAAATTCTTAGGTTTTACATATTAGTATATTCTTACATTGCAGTTTTTGTATTTTTTCCTCAGAAATCAGGTATTTTCCCGCGGTAAAAAGTATCCTATATATTGACCCGGATAACCAGCTATCACCATACAAAATTTTATCAAAATCCGTCCAGTGGTTTTTCTGTGATGTGGTAAAAGACAGACAGACAAACAGACAGACAGACAGATAGACAAAAATTGTAAAACTATAGATTCGGTCTCTATATCCATAATAAAGTTTATTTCATAAGATTTTCCATAAAATATTTAATGTACAGATTCGGCTTAGTTACAATTTTATTATATGTATAGATAATTCGAAATCAGTGACATAATGCTATGGCATATGTGCGTAAGCGTTCTAAGCTCCTATACTATTAAACATATGCTGAAAATTTATGGTAGTTTTGACGAGTTTGAACTAAGCATGTCTAGGAAAGTAGCCGTTTCTAAGCAAAGTTATTTTGAGCTGAAAGATAATGATTGACATCGTTAAAGAGTTTCCATGAAATATAGGTTGAATATGGACCGCCATAAATTTTTGTGATAATGTTCTTCTAATATTATAATATACACGAAAGTTAGGTTTTGCAGGTTAAAGCTAAACCTTACCGATAGATGGGGAGGACATTGAGCTTTGAGGTATAAACCCCTGAATACAGCGAGTTATTTTACAAAAGAATAACGACAGAATAAGAATATACTAGAAATATTATTAAAAGTGTCTTGGAATAAAAAACCTAAACATAACTCATGACATATATAATACAGTAATTTTTAATCCAACCTAGAAGAGAAAAGGGGCAAGTGACATGTGTGAATAATTTAATAATATTGATTTTCATAATTACAATTCATGAGACACGTATACCAGTATTTTTTAAATATATCAATGTTTTTCAGCTCCTTAAAAGACAAATATTTAAAAAAATATATAACTTCTATCTGTTCTAGATCATATTCAGAATGACTCCTCTTTTCATATGACTTTAAAAAACGCTTAGAAGATTTAGACAGTTATAGATAACCACCTGTATAAATACAGGTGGTTATGTGACACTCACTGGCTAGAAAAGCCATTACTACTCAGAAAACCCAACAGAACCTCCCTAGTCCCCTGTCTTAATGGGGCATCGCAGGATCGCATACGCAGTCAACCGCGACGCCCGACAGCAGGTCTGACAACGCAGACCACACAACCAAGGGGTGTATAGAGAGAGTGGGAGCACCCACTGTCCACTCTGCTATCAGACAAGTACCAGGGGTAACCCGCATGGTTACACCACCCGCCGAAGTGGGCGACCTCCCTGTGTGTCTCGTGGCTTTGCGCCCAACTGGGTTGCCGAACGCTAATGAGCCCCTCCACCATAACAAGACATAATTTAAATATTTGGGGGCATTTAAAGTACCTACTTTATTACTCAAAAATAACTTCTCTTCGGAAATGGAGATAAAGGTATGAATATATTTATTAATATAATGTTACCTACTACTTACTGTGTGAATACATACTCGTAATATATAGGTGTTATTTGTTAATATATAAAGTGCATGTACTTACTACTCGTATGACAAAGCTAATTGATCAAAATTTTAATTATATTGTGACAATACCGATAGTCGTTTTGAGCTTGTTAATGATATTTATGAGTAGTTCGAAATTAAATTTATTATTAATCATTATATTTTGTTCCAAATCATTGTGTGAAATATGTTTATTAAGAATTGATTACATAGTAATGTATATTATGTAATTTATTTATTTATTTGTATTCAGCACTTTTGACGTTCCACTGCTGTCTGTCCCTTCAGTACGAAGGGGATATTCGGGCCATAGTCCACCACGCTGGCCAAGTGCGGGTTGGTGGACTTCACATGTCTTTCGAAAACTTGGTTAAACTTGGTGAAACTAGGTTTTCTCAGACATGTAGGTCTCCTCGCGGTGTTTTCCTTCATCGTGAGGCAAGTGGTAACCATGTTAGAAATGATTCGCACATGAAAATATTAGAGGCCCGTGATTTGAACCCACTTTACTCGGTTTCCCAAGCGAGCGCGCTACGACTAGGCTACGACTGCGTTTTTTATTTATTTAAATAGATTTAGGTACTATATTACAATAACTACCTTTTAGATGTGACCCAGATATACTAGTAGTATTTATTTTCTTATTAATTACTTTAGATAGAATAAACGGTACGGAAATGTAAAGAAGTGTGTAAGTATATAAGTAAGTATCTATGTAAAGAAGATCATCGATCGTTGTCGTCGAAATTAGGCTATTTGCTGCACTAAACATACAAGATAAACGATAAGAAAATGATCTATACATATAATAGAAATCTGAGTCGAATCTGTAAATTAAATATTTTTTGGAATATCTTATTGAAATAGTCATAATTATCAATACGGAGTCCGAATCTATAGTTTTTGGAATTTTTTGTCTTTTTGTCTGGAAACGCATCACAAGAAAAACACTGGGAAGATTTTGATGAAATTTGGTATGATGATAGCTGGTTGTCCGGGTCAATTGCAGGATACTTCTTACTGCGGGAAAATATCTCATTTCTTAGCAATGTATACGTCAAAACAACGTTAATACTAAACGTCAAAATGTAATTAGGGACGAACCTAAGCGGAGTAAGGCTGAGTCGCTAGTATATTATATGATTTAAGAGTATATTAGAAAGCACATGAATAAGTAAGCAATAAAAAAAGGCAAATGTTGAAAAGGATCAATTTTGCCACTTTAATAATTTTTAAATAGACATTTGCTTTTCACATACGTATTATACATACATATAAGTTTATTTAGGTATGTTTACATCAAAATAAAGTATAGATTTAACTGGATTGAATGTAAAAATGTATACTTACACTTACCTTAATCCATCACGTAAACTACTTAATAAAAGTATAAATCTTGCAAGACCATAATTTTCCTCCGTGAGTTATTGTTCCTGTAAACAAGTTGGATAAGGATCACCGCATTAATATGCTAATCACATCCCAAGCTGGATAAAATAACAATAACTTTCCATGGCAAAATAAGTTTTGCCACAGCTTTAATTTATAGCTATACTCGTAGCACCGTTTATATTTTTACTGTTTAACTATAAGATGTTCTTAGTTTATAATAGCTCATATTATCATTAAGAATTATAAATTATAGGTATATTGGGATACAATGGATACAATTATTCCTGTGTATAGCTGTAAGTATCTATAGATGCAGATACGTCTGCTTTTTTAAGTAATAAAATTTTCAGTTACACATTAAAAACAACTAAACTCGGTCTCAAAAGTAGTATACGATAGTACCATCATTAATTTACTACACATAATATAATCGCACCGCCTGACCGTTTGACTTCGCGAAGTCACGTAATGTAGAAATGAATATATATCGCTACAGAAATAAAGCTTCATGCAACCGCAGTACGAAAGGTGCACGACTACATGTTAGGTTGGTGTGTGTATACACCTCAACGAAGAGATTAAGTACCTACGCGCTCCCCGTTAACATATCTGGAAGATTTTTTGGGTTCGAAACGCTGACCATCTCAGGTCGGTTACGCTCAAAAGAAATCGCACACATCGCATACTTAAGTAGTAGTGTACCTATCGAAACACTAAATATGCGAAATAGGTATTTATAACTAGCGGCTCACCCTCGCTTCACTCGGGTTTGTACCCTAGAGTATATGCGATGGATGTAAGAATCCAGAAGAAAGAGTCAAAGAGATAAAATATTATTCCTCTTTGTGTATATTTGTTTGAATCATATATTACCACTCAGTAATATTAAGTTTTTATGAACTCTTATTCCACAGGAAGGCATTATTTGGATGAATAGACGTCTATGTCTATAACATCCATTCTAAAACTTCTAAATCTATACTTTAAGGTTACAAAAAAATATCAAATTGTGATAAATAAAAAGACTGAATAACATATTGTAATGAAGCACTACAACTTTGCAATTTGACTGGAAAGATAAGGGTTTGGCTACGGAATCTAAAGCTTAAAAAGTAGTAACTTATCTGTATGTGAACTCAGGACATGATCTATTGTTTGTTTTATCTAAAGCCGTTCATCACCAACAGATGTTTTTTTTATTTTTAAATGCATGTAAAATGTCTAGACACGCGTTATTTGGAAATATGTAAGTCTAGACGCTCTTTGATAAGCTAATTTATAA